TAAGGTTTTTTTATTTACTGTGATCCACAGATAAAAGAGCATTTTACCTCAGAACACAACAGTCACATGCATATATAATTGAAGCAAAAGCATCACAAAATATTTGCCTTTACAAATATGCATAGTGATATTTCTACTCTTCCCTAGTTTAGTTCTTAAAAATATTGGTCCCAGTACACTAAATTGATTTTTACAGCTAACTAATGGATTGTACAGCCTTTCCTGAAAAACACTGATCTCAACCAGCACTAATTATAGTGACTCATTGCCTTTGCAGTTAAAATCAAGACTGTTATGACACAACAGTCTGATAGTCAGAAAATACCAAGTAGTTTCCTATGAAGAGTGGAAGCAGATAATGGTAGGAGATGAGGCTGCGACCCAACCATAGAAAACCTTGTTCAAACCTCTACTCAGGAGTCACCTTTTTGAAGCTTCCAACTTCCACTTCATCCTCCAAATGTGGTGAGGCCCCTCTGTGCAGTTATGGTCCTCAGGGCATACAGCTACCAAAGCTTCCATCATACTGCATCACCAATGCCTGTCTGCTTGACTGATATCCTTCACTCAACTGAGCTCCTGAAGCCAGAAACTGGGACTCAATCTTCTGGATGCCTATTCCTACCAAAGGACCTAATTCAAAATTGCTGCTCAATGTAAGTTTATTAAATGATAAAGAAAGCTACATGTTGTCCTTGACATACTGAGCTCTCAGGCTGAGCTTTTACAAAACAATAAACACAGTGCTGTGTGCAGGGACAGTGCTCAGCTACACTGCTGAGTAGTCCAAGGCTGAAGACTGAAATGATGTATCTTATGTGAAATAATCACTAATTCCCCAAGCAAAGCTAGGCACTTCTCCAATGGCCCAGTTTCACACTGTATGTCCTTTATTTTGGCAAAGGCACAATTACATTGTTTAGCACCCTTCACTAGATAGTGAACTCCTTGAGGTTAGGCGACATGTCTAATTCACTCTTGCGGCACCCAGTAGAGAACATAGGACAAAATAGACTTCTGAAAATACCTATTGACTGAATCAATGCATTGAACAAAGTTCTCAGCCTCGCGTGGTATTTAAAGCTCACTAACTCCTCCCTTCCCCGGTTTCCTCTTACTTCATCTGAAAAAGAACTTCCTGCGGTGCTGATTTCCCATTGTTCACTCCTGGATAACGTCTGTACCCCAAGGCTTTCCTCTCGGTGCCCTAAATACGTGGGCATTTTCTAATTCATAGCTCTGCCTCCGGGACATGAATTTGGTAGTTTCACTTGGGGTTCTCTAATAGAAATGGTCTGTGTGCCTACATTTTGAGGAAAGGAGTTTAAACTCTTCTGACATTTTGTGTTATGTCCACAATATGAAAATAGTATTTTCCAGTCTTACAACTCAAATAGTTTACATTGCACACGCACACACACACACACACACAAACTTCTGTTAAATTTGACATGCTCTAGGACAGCGGTTCTCAACCTGTGGGCTGCGACCCCTTTGACGGTCGAACGACCCTTTCACAGGGGTCGCCTAAGACCATCCTGCATATCAGATATTTACATTACAATTCATAACAGTAGCAACATTACAGTTATGAAGTAGCAACGAACATAATTTTATGGTTGGTCACAACATGAGGAACTGTATTTAAAGGGCCAGAAGGTTGAGAACCACTGCTCTAGGAGGTGAGCTTCGCTTACACTGTGGCTTCACAGATATCTTGACAGACCACCATGTAGTCCAGCATAGGAAGCACAGCATTAAAGCTTTACTGCTGTTCACTTCAAAGCAAAGAAAATACAAAAGCTGTTTCTAGGGATGTCACAGAAAACTTAATGTTATTATCCTGACATAATTTCTAACTGCTTTTTTTTTTTTAATTGTCACAGAAACTTTGCCACAATCATCTTTTTATGCAGAGGATAAAAGAAACATAAAATAGTTCACTTTTGTAAGTGCTGAGTTTAAGATGCTTGGGAGCATCTGGAGTTTGCAAAAGAGTTCTTCACTGGGAGAACAGATTTGGGAGTTGTCAGCAATTAAAGCTAAGGAAATGAATGGAGTGACTCAGAGTGTGTTATGTGGAGGGGAAGGAGGCTGACATCAGACAGGATACAGAATCTATGAAGGAGTCTGAGAAACTGCCTTTTTAAAATAGGAAAGAGAACCTGCAAAATTCATCACAGTACCTAGTGCAGTGTCTTCCTTGTGCATAGAAGGCACTCAAAAATAATCACATACATTCAGCAAGTATACTCCTCCATTCAAAGCACTATGCTAGTATAGAGAATACAGGGATGACTTTTCAAGGATCCAAAGGCCAATTTGAGGGACAGATAATAAATAAACGCAGCACAGTAGACAGGTAGTGTGAAAGTGGTGCACACAGGCTTACTGGAGGACCAAGAAGGGCCAATAAAGAAGAACTTTGGAGGAAACACTGAATCTTGAAGAAAGTAAGTATTGATCAATCATGGGGGAGAGAAGTCAGCTGTGAGGGCATTCCAGGCAGCAAGAGCTGCAGGTATAAGTGCACTGAGTTATGAAGCAGTATGTCCTGGTTGAGAAATTCCAAGAAAGTAATTTGGTGCAGCTGGGGTTTATTTAGTCCAATAAAGAACAACTTTGGAGGAAACCGCTGAATCTTGAAGAAAGTAAGTATTGATCAATCATGGGGGAGAGAAGTCAGCTGTGAGGGCATTCCAGGCAGCAAGAGCTGCAGGTATAAGTGCACTGAGTTATGAAGCAGTATGTCCTGGTTGAGAAATTCCAAGAAAGTAATTTGGTGCAGCTGGGGTTTATTTAGTATTTGACGAAGAAGTGGAGGAAATGAAGCAGGAAAGCCAAGCAAGATCAGGTTACAAAGGGCCACGTAAGACATGATAAAGTGCTTCAGGGGAAGCCACTGAAGGATTTTTAAATGGAGAGAAAAGGCATCAGATTTACATTCAGAAAGATCATTCTTGCATCAGACTGGAAGATGGAATAGACAGGGAGACTAAAAGCAAAGATACCAATTAGGAGCCTGGTTTAGGAATTCAAGGGGAGTTGACTGAAGACTAGACTAAGCCCACAGGCAGGGGAGTTAGAAGCTGACAGAGACAGATTAGATCAGACTTTGTGTGGGATTACATGAGGTAGAGGGAGAAGATGAGTTCCATTCACAGAGAATCTCTCTACTAACAGAATAGCAAAGGAAAAGCAGATCTGAGGTTGCCATGATGAACTTTGTTGAAAACATACTAATCCTCTTGAGCTATCATGTGGACAAAGGATATATGTAACAGTTGTGTGAGCTCAGAGGCTATATGTAAACTAGCAATATAGATGTGAAAGTCACACATACACATACATTGGAATGGAAGCAATTGGACTAGATGAGATTTCCAACAAAAAATACAGAGTAAGAGAAATTTTAAAAAGGCCTATCGTACAGCCAACATGCAAAGACCAGAGAGAGAAAGAAACCCTCTGAGGATGGTAAAAGGACTACAACTAGAACACTGGTGTCTCAAAGTTTAGGGGAAGAGGATGTCAAAACATCTATTTGTGTAGATTGTGAATTCTTGAGGGAAGACACTAGATAATTTTTGTATTGTCAGACCCTAATGTTGGCCAGCCTCTGAGGTAGTGCTTTAATGAGTATCTGTGGGCACTGGATTTGGGAATTAGGGTGTTCACCGTTGACCTCTGATAGAGCAGTCTCTTGAGAGGGGAAAAAAATAACCATAAAGACAATTCAAGAAGTTATGTGACAATGAAAAGAGAAGAGACAGGGCAGAGATATGTAGCACCTTGAGTGGAAGACACTTAAAATGTGAATTTTGAAGACTGATGTATTGGTTTTTGTTATGGTCTGAATGTTTGTGTCCTCCCCCGCCCCCAAATTCATATGTTGAAATCCTAATGCTTGGGAGGGGCAGGTGAGAGGGGGAGGGGGTTAATGGGGGGTGGGAGGCGACATCTATAATACTTTCAACAATAAAGATACATTTTTTAAAAAATCCTAATGCTTGGCATGAGGGTGTTAAGAGGTGGGGCCTTTGGGTGGAGTCCTCATGAACAATATTAGTGTCCTTATAAAAGAGACCCCTCAGAGATCCCTACTCCATCTACCACTTAAGGACACTAGAAGAAGACATAGCTATGAACCAGAAAGATGGCCCTCACCTGAACCCAACCATCCTGGCATCTTGGTCTTGGACATCCCAGCCTTCAGAGCAATGAAAAATAAAATGTTGTTTCTAAGCTATCTATGTTATTTTATTAGAGTAGTGTGAGCAGACTACGGCAATTTTATGAGTATTTCTGCCAGTCCTTAGTCATGCAGACAGACATTATAGGTTAAAGGAAAAGTTCAAAATCACACATCAAGGGCAAAGGTGGAGGGAGGAGAGCTTTCTTATTCCCCATTTTGGCATCCTTGGCTTCTCCATCTTTATGTGAAGCCCTTCTCTTTTGGGACTTGACATTGGTTGTACCACCTCTTTCTAATGGTGTTAGCCTTAACTGCTAAGGCCTGGACTACCTGCTGGCACAACCCAGAAGTAAGTTGGCAAGATTGCAGTTCTAACCTGTCTGCCTTTGGGGAGAAAACAGCCTAGAGCTAGTGACATAATGAACCATTAAATTCAATCGATCAGGCCTAAAAGAATATGCTAGCGCAACAGACAGAATACCATGACTTCAAAACACAACTGAGAAGTCAATGTGGAGCTAGCAAAGATACAAGCAAGTACTGAAAGATCAAAGGCCTCTCTGGAGGAATCTTAAATACTGAGAACCAGCTACCCCCTTTTTTATAACACACTGGGTGATTCATGCTGGTCTGACTGGGGGTGGATGTGGGAAGAAACAGCTTCTGGTTATTCATTTAATGAAGTCTTAGGCCCAGAGTCTTGTTCACCGTCCCAAGACCTGCTACCGTCACATTTGCTCACTTACCCTATCCAAGTGCATGCCCCCTTCATGACTCTGGCTCCATAGTTCTTTATTGTTCTCTCCTCCTGGAAATGATCATGCAGCCCACTCTCTTTAACAGGCCATTGACCCTTTCATGACCAGCTCTACTTTACCCCCTGAATTTTTACCTTCCAGAATCTCACTCTGTAAACCCCCCTTCTTGCCTCTGGCTCTCTCATACCCCTGTGTACATATCACACTTTCAACCTCTTGCAACTCCAGGCCTTTGAATTCCCTCTTGTCTCCCTGTGTGTACCAGGCCTTTCTTCCTTTCAACCCAGCCTGAACATTATGATCCAACATTTCATCCATTCTCATGGCAGCCCCTATTCAACCCCATGCCTTTCTCTCCCACCCACTTACTAATCATCTGATTTCTCACCTCCTGTGCCCTCATCAGTGAGAGCTCTGAGAAACAAAATATATCACAAAACATTGGAATTGGAATCAACAGAGCTGGGCACTGAGCATAACTCAGTAAGCCTGACTTGCTCAATCCTGTCATCTCTTTGACCCCTACAAACTTTTCCACTTAAAGTCTTTGGATTTTCATCTCTTACTACCAGCACTTAACCTCACTTCCTACTTCTCAAAAAAGGGAGGGAAAAGTGGCTGTGACATATTCTTCTTAATTTTATACCCTTCTGACCTTTATCTGCATCCAGAAATTAGGCAATTAGTTGGACATCTATTTACTGAAGACATGACACCAATGATCAAGCTACCTAAAGGTCAATTCAGCAAAATTTCCAAATTTATCAACTTTTAAAACATTTTCTTTTGAACATCAAAATCCAATTTGGTGAAACTATCAATTTACCCAAAATGTGTTTCTATCAATATTTATAGAAATTGTGTTGCATGAAGTTTCATAGCTTTGTGAAACTTTTTTTCATAGCTCTTCTTTTTTCAGTTTTCAATTAGTTTCAGTTTGACTTAATCAGTTCTACCAATGTCTTTTTAGGATATCTGTTGTGTACCAGATTTCAATGAAACTCTGTTAAATGTCACATTTGTGTGGAATATTCATTTCAGACAAGGATTCAGGTGCCTACAACAAACAGATAATACTCATTTGGACTTACCTGGCAGGGGAGATACCATGATCATGAAGGTGGTTTCCCCAGAGCGAGGCTTATCCATTGCACTCCGGGTATGCTGACCCTTGCAATTTCCCCAAATGTGGGAAACTCGACTGCCTAATTTGTGGTAGTGGGCGACTGTTTTCGCACTCTCCCCTGAAAGAAAAAAAATACTCATTTGGTCCAGCTGATAAATCTATGAATTAAAAACAGCACATTCTAACTCATTCTATGAGGCCAATCTTACTCTGATACTACTAGTAAAACCAAATAAATAAATATCACAGGCAAAGAAAATAGAGATCAATGTACTCTATGCAAAATTCCTCAGAAAAAGTAGATT